TAAACTCACTCTAAAAAGAGAAATGCACAGACGCGCATCTTTCATCTCTCTCTCTCTCTCTCTCTCTCTCGTATTGGCAATATTTGAGAAAAGGGTTTAGTGATTTCTAATTATTGGGGGGACTAGCCCCCCTCAATGTCTACGGTGGTTATCGCCCTGATCAGACATGAAAATATGTTGTGGTTATCGCCCTGATCAGACATGAAAATATGTTGTGGCACTATCGTGCAGTCTGTAATGATATGACGTTAGCAAACTTTAGCGATTTTTTGCAAACATTTCTTTGAGTAACATGACCATAAATATGAACTCACGATTGAACGTAACGTAAAACAAATGATTACTTTTCGTTAAAATCTTTATTAATGCCAAAAATGCTTACATTTATGTGTCTTTTTGTTCGCTCGGGCAGCCATGTTGCCGCTGAAGCCGGTTTACGCTGAGATAATTCATACCCCTTCGTTTGAAGTGTGGTCCCGAAAAATCTTCGTTTGAAAGGCTGTCTGGCCCTTCCCCTACCCCTACCCCTCCAACCAAAAGAGAATTGAGACACCCCTACCGCTTCACGTGAACGCGCGAAACGGAGGGGTAGGGGAAAGGGGAAGGGCTAAGGGGTAGAATTGGGATTGGGCCTAAGTCACTGGTGATGTATGTATCAAACTGTGATATGTGGTATGAAATAAAACTATGGAATAATTAGTATAGTTAAATAGAAGAAAACTAAATGCACTAGCCGACATTTTTACTTTGGCAGCATAAGAACAGATTGATAGCTTTAGAGCTGCACTAAAAAGCCACTGGGCTATTGGGATGTTCTGTCTGCCCCCAATGTCTGTGAGTACTAGAAATCCTGAAGGTCAGTTAAATAAAGATATGATCATAAAATCAATAGATGCAACCAGTCTGAAAGGAGTGCCAAGCACTACTGTCAGTTTGATTACCAAATATATAGAGAACCAATTATTAAGTTGATAAATGGGTGAGTAACTCAGTTATCCAGAAAACAAATCATTTGGAAAATGTCTCACCCATCAGGAGGTTTGCTGAAGTTTTTGTTTGTGTAGATTTCCTCCAAGCTGAAATCCTTCTTCTTTACTCTATAAAACACAAAACAAGAAATGTATCTTTCCTTTAATGAAGTACAGACACACAGATTGTTATGACCAAGCCTATATAAAACCTTCTCATCGCATACACACCTGATGACCTTAGGAAGGCCCATAGGGGTGAGATTATTCTGAGGCTTTGGAATCTTTTTACGGATACGAATAGAGGACACCTTTCCACGCTGACCATCCTTGATCTCTGTCTGTTTACACAGAGAGCGAAGATGCAATTAGGATCAAGAAAAATGACACATTTTAGACCACAAACCAAAGTTAAGAGAAAACTCACACCTTGATTTCAGAGTCTGAAAATGCTTTCTCCTCTGAGATGGCTGCAGAGAGTTTAAGGTCAAAGTTGGATCTCTCTTCATCTATTGACTCCTCACACTCCATCTGAAGCACCCGACTGTCTCCTTCCAAAGAGCTTTGTGAAAACGCACTTGAGGAAAGGAAAAGTAGGATTTTAACAACTGACTTGCATCTTTATTAACGTCTTCTTATGGGAAAACGTCTGAGATCATCAGCATGATATATTATACAATAGCAGGTCATAAAAAGCAAGCATACTCCGATAGGGAGGCTGGGAATTTGTTAAATTACCTGCAGAGTGATGACACAGAGGTGGAAGGTGTCTCAGGGCTGGGAGTGACAGAGGAAGGGCCGGTTGAAGCATGACAGGACGTGAGGGTGGAAGAAAAGGGGGGACTGAAGGAGGACGGTGATGATGAGGTGACAAAACTGGAGGCAGCTGAAACACTGCCAGTGCTGGTGTCGCTAGCATGACTACGCCCTTGGCTTGAGCCTTTAGACAAGAACGCTAAAGGACTGGACAAAAAACACGAGGCAAGGGCTGTGAGGTAGGTGGAGGGAGAATAAGGGGAAGAGGGGCACAAAGGGCCACCTCGACTAGCAGGGTACACCTCCTTACGGAGACACAAAGGAGCAATTTCGCGCTCAATCTCCACACTGCAGACAGTGTGCCGGCGAGTGCGCTTGGACGGAGAGTGAAGGTGGATGGGAAGTGGAGCGGGTGAGCTCTTTCTGCTGGGTGAGGTAGTGCTGTTGTCATGCATGTGGGACCGGGGGAAATGGCAGTCACTGAATACTAGGGACGGGATTTCAGGGCAGGAGTAGCTGCGCAGGAGGCGGCTGGGACCGCTACCTGACAACGATACTACTGGAACGGCTTCCGTCACCTTTTCTTGGCTCTCCGCTTCACTGTTACCTCCAATAGCACCTCTCCTTTTTGCAACCGAACCATCTTTTCTTCTTGATCGGATTAAATTCTTTGTGGGTCTGCTTAGTTTTCTTTCTGAATGCACTGGAGCTGTCGAACCAGGCGACAGAAGTTCCTTTATTTCTTCTCTTGCTTTCAGTCCAGAAACACATGTCTCCTGCTCCTCAGCCGAAATAACAGATTGTTCGCTGCGCAGTAGTGTTCTTTTTGAAGGCTTACGTGGTCCTGCTGGATCAACCACTGAAGTCACGCTAAATTCCTCAAACTTGTGCTTGAGTGGACAAATGTTTCTCTTCTGCAAAGCATCGCCTGTAATTTTAAGATGCCGTCTTGTTTTTCGAGTTTCAGTGGTCTTCTCAGACTCCTGTGACTGCATAGGATACTGAAATTCTTCTGATGAACCATTCATGGTATTGTCAATCAGGACATTCTGTGTACCATTTTGAGAAAATGTAGTATCAGTGGCATCATCTTCATTGCTAGAGGTCAGCAAAGTCCTACGTTTTACATTTTTTCTCAACTGACTTCTAATTGTCTTGTCCTGTCCCATTTTATCTGAGGCCCCAACAGAATGTTTCATCTCAACATCTGCAGCATTACTAATACCGACAGGCACATTTGAGTCTTGGAGTGGTTGCATTATAGAAACCCCTTTCCTCTTTTTCCTAACCTGAACAAATGTTTCTTCCCCCTGGTTTATTTCCAATGCGATGTTATTGTTTTTTATTTTTCTATTCCTCTGAGGTCTTCCCTCTTTAGCATTCTGCAAATCACATTTCCCCCTTGCCTGCAAGTCTTTCTTTGTCTGAGGAGCTTTTCTGCATCTCTTTGGCCTCACTTCTCTGACAGAAATGGTCTTTGGAGGGTCTGATACTTCAGCCGAGTGGTGTGTCCACTCCATACTGTTTTCAGACGGTGATTCCTTCATCTCCAAATCCAGAGGCTTTGATCCGGTCACAAAAGTGGCCAGTTCAGTGGAGGTGGGTCCAACCGACCCTGACAGATATTTATTTCTAGGGCTTTTCCTGGTGGCCATACGTGAAAAGGATTCTTCGCTGCCAACTGTGCTTGTGCCTTTATCTATTAAATCAAAATCAGAGGAAGTGCTAAAAGAGGAGACTCCAGGATCAGGCTTGTTTACGCTACTGTCAGACACTGGTTTCAACAGGTTTGATTCCTCTTCTGAAAAGTTGGACTTATGATTATGTCCACAGGCCGTGTCAGTGCTACAGGTCTGTCTCTCACCTGACAGAGGATGCAGAACAACCAGCACATCCGTCTGAAAACTGGCCTGGCTGGACACACTCATGGCACTTGCAGAATTCAAAAGTTTGTCTGTGGACAGATTTGATTTAGTTCTGAGGAAAGGGCTCTGTGCTTTACAAGGACTGACATCACGTGTCACATCCTGAAGGATGGCTTGTGTCTGGCTTGAAGGACGGTCTATCTGATTTTCTTCATTTGATGATGCCTCGTTGTGCATTTGAATATGATCAAATACTGGTTCGTGGTTGTTACTTGTTGAAATTGTACAAAAATTCAGTCTCTGTGCAACTCTGTGGCGTTTTGGAGCAGTGCTGCACTGCACCTTTTCTGAAGAAGGCCTTTTTGGAAACAATCTATTTCTACATTTGTCGGTCTCGGCTTCCTCAGTCCGGGTTGAATTTTCAACATTTGACTCTATCAATTTTTCATGTTGATTAGGAAGTGCGATCAAGGACAGAGAGTCACTGGGCTTAAAAAGCCGAACAGGGCTCATGACAATCTCAGTAAAGCTAGCCATCTTGGATTTGAATGACTGTAGAAGTGGCCCAAACTCCCATCTTTTTATTGCTGAAGGGCTCTCTGGGGAATCCCTCTCCACTGGCTTTTGGCCGTGGCTTTGCTCCTTTGCAGGGCTGCCATCTCCTAACTGTGAGCTCACACAGGGTGATACCAGTTTGTGGTTTTCTTCTCTAAAATCAAGAAACAAAAGACATTTCAAGCATGTTTGCTGGCTAAAATTACAGATCTTAATTTTTTGTCTGATGCAGCATCACTCACTCTGACTTTTGCTCCTCCATCTCAGCTTCAACTCCAGAGCTTGTCTGAAAACAAGGGGAAAAAAAGAGAAGTGGATGAAGACATAGATTTTGCAAGTATTTTAGAATTAGTTAGTAAAAAATAAATAAATCTACTTCATGACAAAAAATGCCAACCTGCAACTTACAGTATAAAGTACTTCATAGATTTCACCTAACTGGACGAAAATTATTTAAAATGGGTTTTACTTTAGATTCAGAAACATGCTCACATTGTACACAAAACACCCCAGACACCTATTTTCACGTCATTTGGCATTGCACCTCAATTAAAAAATTTGGGAAAACATTACTGACTCACTATCCAACCTTATGGGATGTCACATCCCATTGTCTCCCTCCCTCTTTATATTAGGTGACATATCCATAATCAATTTAAACAATACAAATAGTCAAATACTCCTAGTGGCTCTAACTGTCGCAAAGAAAACTATCCTCATGAACTGGAAATCAAGGAATACCATACATATTACATATTGGAAAAACTTACTAATAGAGTACTCCATCTCCATGGAAAACCTGTCAACTTCCATTCAAAATAATACAATAGAATTACACCCCTCTTGGTTATCTCTCATAAACTTCCAACAATCATGAATCCGCTGACCTTCTTTGTCTGAAGCCATCCTCAACGATACACCTTCATCAATATCTAAACAAGATTGGGGGGAGGGGGGTTAGGAGGAGGTAGCAACACTGACTAATATTAAACCTAATTAAATACTTATAAAAGATTAAATTCATTTTTCTCTCTCTCTCTGTCTCTTTCTCCCCACTTTCGTCTTCTTTTTTATTTATTTATTTATTTATTTTTATATTTTTCCTCTTTCCCTCTCTTCCTTTCTCTTTCTCTTATCCTGCCTGTGGGCCCCAGTTGGCTGTGGCATCTCAGTCCCTGCCCTGTGTGGTTCGGATCAGTTGGGGTGATGTGGGGCCGGGGACCTTGTACCTCCTGCTTCTACCAGCTTTGCCCTGGATTTCTTGCCTCTGGCTGGTTCAGCACTACATGTCTTGCTTTTTTTAATGCTTCACATATTAGATGACATACATACATTTATTGGAACATAAACAAGGGAAAGAGGGGGAAGAAGAGAGGGATAGGGGGAAAAAACAAATCATACATACATACACACACAGGGTAAGTGTGACGTGGGCATGGGGGCCTGGGTTTTGCACTGGGCTGGTTCCACGCTGCGTGACACGCTTTTTTTAATGCATCACACACTAGTTGACATGCATATATGTCTATCACGAATTTAACAATAAATGCATGAAAAGGGAAAGGGGGAAAAAACAACAACAAATAGGGTAAGAGTAGCATGTGTGTTGCGGCCGGGGGTGGGACTTTGGGCCCTGGGCCCCGCAGCACCTCTCCTTGATGGCCTGTCGTAGTGTGACATGGGCGGGGGTCTAACTTATGCCGTGCTCACGGAGGGCCCAGAGGCAGCCTTACAATACCTTACCATTTATAGCTTTATTATTATTAATAATATTGTTGTTAGTGTCGTTATTATTACTAATACTACCATTATTATTATGATTATTGCTATTTGTCATCTTCCTCATCTTCCAACTTTCCCCTCATTTCTGATTAATTGAGTTCATTATTATTATTATTGCTACTACTATTAAAATTATTAATTGTCACCTTCCTCATCCTCTTTCCTCCAACTTTTGTTATTAATGCAGCAATTATTATCATCATTATCACTATTATTGTTTTCTACTATTGTTATGTCTGTTGTACTTTTTTACGTTCCTTTGTTTATATACTTCCACCCCCCACACCCAGTTAAACTTACACACACACACACAAATCATGTTTGGCTGTCATGAATGTTTTGTTGACCTTGGTTATTTTGTATTTCATTTGTCATCTGTAAATAGTATATCTGTTTAAATAAAAAAATTAGTTAAAAAATTAAATATTTTAAAAATATTAATTACACAAGACCTTGAAGAGACATTACAATTTGATTTTGAAGCAAAAGAATATTTGAAAATCAGAAAGAGGTAAAAAAGGTGTAGCCGAATGGAGAAACTACTTATCCTGTGAAGTATTTTGAACAAAATAACTCGATGTCAACCCTCTACATTGCGAGTAAATCACTCGCATATGCGACTAAATCTTACTCTGGGCGACTAAATAATGTGTAACATTACTGACAACGTGATTAATATTCATGAACCCTGCAGATAGTAGTAGTATCTTTTAATAATAATTACTATTACCTATGACCAACAATATCTTAAAC